TTGGGGGTTTTGCGTTATTATTTGAATAAGGTAGCGAAAATATATCGTTCCACGTTTCTGGCTGTAATATTTGTTAACTGATCAGGACATATAAATACTATTGTAATTATTAATATTATTATTATTATTATTATTATTATTATTATTATTATTATTATTATTATTATTATTATTATTAACAATAATAACAATAGCAACAACTTTATCAGCATAGATGATAACGAAGCCAGAAACAACGATATTTCTTTCATAAATGTATTTCAGTTCAGTGTTGAAATATGTTAAAAAAAATTATGGTGACTGTGCGCAGAGAACTTCACAGATATTTTTTTTATAACGTGAAGAGCAAAGTGCTACATTTTATCGAAATCAGTGAGGCACCGATCTCCACCTTACTTATGGGCATTTAAGCACACTACTTGACTCGTAGATCCCTCGTCTAGTAGACTAAAGTCTACCTGCTTGATTACATATCCGAAATTATAAAACTACTTGAACAAAGCTGTACACCCACAGATATGTACATGGTAAAATTATAGATGACTATCAGATCGATTGTAGCATATAATAAAATGTACAAAGTAAAATTAAAGATGACAATCGGATAGATTTAACTCATAATCTTCCATTTAGAGTCCTAATTTTAGACCCTATTTTCGATAATCTAGACAATAGAGCAACCTGATGAGTGAAATGTATGGCTCCAAACCCCGTGGGTCCAAATAAACGACAAACTCCGTGGGTCGAAATAAACTAGAACATTTGTATGTGGAAGCAGTGTTTGTTTTGTGGATGTAAGCACTTGATGATCTTCCCATGATGAAAAGCTTTTTTAGCTCGAAAAGTTGGGACACTGTTTTGTTTTGCGCTGTTATTAGTTTTAACAAATATAACCATTTATTGCATCATCATCTTCTCTTTCTTATGCAATCGTTGTTGTAATTTTCGTTCATCGTATAAATGACGCAAAGAAATTACGTCGACAGTGGTCGCAATGATTCCCGTGATACCACACGGGTGACGGGTAAAAGATGACGAACGGTCATTTTCACATTATTATCCAGACGATAATTCTAAATTAGATTAATATCTTTTTAGTATCTTGGTGGCCCTGAAAAGGTTAGATAGAGTCTATAGTTTTCTTAGTAGTGGTCGCACCTCCATGGTCGGGTGCCGTACTCTGCACATTGATGTCCCCATTCTTCCAACATGTCTTGCTGGAGATTACAAACCTAAAACTGGGCTCGTTGTTCACTTTCCCCCTGTCATACTTCTTTTCCGTCCCCCTTCGTCTCCTCTGTAATATATTCTAGATGAATCAATCATTTGAAATTCTCCTGGTCGTTCATGTTCCATCTCATTCTTCTCTTTCTCCCCTCTACTCTCTCCTTCTTCAGTCTTTCCTTTTCCCTGTTTCCTCTACTCACGCTTCTTTGATCTTGACGTCGTCATAATCCATCAATACTTGAAAATTCTTAGTGAAGCTGCCTCCACCCCCAATCCATCTTGTTGGTGTAACAGTCTAATCTTCCATCGAAGCCAGATAATCCAGTTCCTATACTAGATATATGGCTTCTTTATATATATATATATATATATATATATATATATATATATATATATATATATATATATATATATATATATATATATATATATATATATATATGCAATAAACTGACGACGAAAAGTGCAAAACTAGTAACGAACTAACCTGAGCGCTTTGAACTTTTAATGAGTCTTTTTCAAAGGCATATACAAAACATAGTCAGAACAAACAAATAAAATATAGAAAACGTTGTGTTTGTAAAACTCTACTTGTCTTTCTCTACATGAGTTAAACCTAAAGATTTGTTATCTTTCAACCAGCCTGTATAGACTTGTTCTTGTTGCGAAAACTGAAAGATGTTTCTATTTCCCTAGAAGATTATGAGCTATAGCGTCTTTGTGTTGATTTGTTGATTTTGTCTATGTTTTGTACTTGCCTTTGAAAAAGACTCATTAGAAGTCTAAAGCACTCAGGCTATTAGTTACTAGTTTTGCGTGTGTGTGTGTATATATATATATATATATATATATATATATATATATATATATATATATATATATATATATATATATATATATATATATATATATATATATATATATATATATATATATATACCCAAGTCGAAGATGAAACTGCAGGACTCATTTTAATTAATCTGGTCTTGGAATAAAGTCGCGGTCGACCAGTTGACCATGTGCGACTAATTAATGTACGCACTGCGTACATCTTAATTAATCGTAGTACCGGTAACAGACACAGTATATTACTTTAATGTGTACACTCCACACTTCTTAATTTACATGTCCAGAGGCGGGAACGGATAAGATGGGGCATGAGATTCGACTCTTGATTTTATTGCAAGTTTCCTATTTTCTCCTGGATTGAAACATTTTGATATATTTAAAAATTTTAATAGTTATCTTCAATTTTAAAAATAAAAGTTTTATGTAATTATAGCCAGTGGTTAGTGGAATGTAGACTTGAGTATTTTAATATCGGTTTCTGCCATGGGATGCATTTTTAGGGAAGGCTCTAAATTAGTAAGTGCTTCACGTTGATGGCGTGTTTGTTTTTAGTTTTAGTTTTTCTCAATCTGTGCTGCTGAATACTTTATATGTGCTACAGTTTGTCTTTCAAATTAAGATGGGTTAGTTACTTTTTGTGTTGTGTTGGAAGGGTTTTGATAATTACGGCGATGTACAGTTGGCCCTGAAGGTCTTGAAAGTTTGGATCACCTTATATTTCAACTTTTTGGGATCAATTTAGTAGGTCATATGTTTAAGCTATGCCTTCTGAATCAGATTTGTCGCAATGTACACCACTGCATGGTGGTCTGGGAATTAATCTTTGTCGCATTGTACACCACTGCATGGTGGTCCGGGAATCAGTCTTTGTCCAATTGTACCACAATGCATCATGGTATAGGAATCAATCTTTGTCGCATTGTACCCCACTGGATCATGGTCTGGGAATCAGTCTTTGTCCAACTGTACCACAATGCATCATGGTTTGGGAATCAGTCTTTGTCACAATGTACCCCAATGCATCATGGTCTGAGAATCAGTCTTTGTCACAATGTACCCCAATGCATCATGGTCTGGGAATCAGTCTTTGTCACAATGTACCCCAATGCATCATGGTCTGATAATCAGTCTTTGTCGCATTGTACATCACTGCATGGTGGTCTGGGAAACAGTCTATGTCGCACTGTACACCACTGCATGGTGGTCTGGGAATCAGTCTTTGTCGCATTGTACCCCACTGTATCATGGTCTGGGAATCAGTCTTGGTCGCACTGTACACCACTGCATGGTGGTCTGGGAATCAGTCTTTGTCACACTGTACACCACTGCATGGTGGTCTGGGAATCAGTCTATGTCGCACTGTACACCAATGCATGGTGGTCTGAGAATCAGTCATTGTCGCACTGTACACCACTGCATGGTGGTCTGGGAATCAGTCTTTCTCGCATTATACTCCACTGCATCATTCTCTGGGAATCAGTCTTGGTCGCACTGTACACCACTGCATGGTGGTCTGGGAATCAGTCTTTGTCGCACTGTACACCACTGCATGGTGGTCTCGGAATCAGTCTTTGTCGCACTGTACACCACTGCAAGGTGGTCTGGGAATCAGTCTTTGTCGCATTGTACACCTCTGCATGGTGGTCTGGGAATCAGTCTTTGTCGCATTGTATCCCACTGTATCATGGTCTGGGAATCAGTCTTTGTCGCACTGTACACCACTGCATGGTGGTCTGGGAATCAGTCTTTGTCGCACTGTACACCACTGCATGGTGGTCTGGGAATCAGTCTTTGTCGCATTGTACACCACTGCATGGTGGTCTGGAAATCAGTCTTTGTCTCACTGTGCACCACTGCATCATAATTTGGGAATCAGTCTTTGTCGCATTGTACACCACTGCATCATGGTCTAGGAATCAGTCTTTGTCGCATTGTACACCACTGCATGGTGGTCTGGGAATCAGTCTTTGTCACATTGTACACCACTGCATCATAGTCTTTGTCGCACTGTACACCACTTCATTGAGGTCTGGGAATTAGTCTTTGTCGCACTGTATACCACTGCATGGTTGTCTGGGAATCAGTCTTTGTTGCACTGTACACCACTTCATCATGGTCTTTGAATCAGTCGTTGTAGCACTGTACTCCTCTGCATCACGGTCTGGGAATCAGTCTTTGTCGCTCTGTACACCACTGCAAGGTGGTTTGGGAATCAGTCTTTGTCGCATTGTACCCCATTGCATGGTCTGGGAATCAGTCTTTGTCGCATTGTACCCCACTGCATCATGGTCTAGGCTATGGACTACCTTAAGACTCAACTAATTTTGTGTCAGATTGTCGGATGAAATTGCTAAATTATTTATTTTGAAACAAACATTGTCACATTGTGTGGCGGGATCTAAATATGTGGGCTTAGGGCCACTTAAAATTGGTCAAGTATTCATTAAGAGCCGAGTCGTTCCTTGAATTAATATCTAGTCTCTCACCCATATCATTTATTGTTTATTTTTCTCTGTGTGGAACTGGAATGAGAGATAAAAGAGTTATTTGGTTAGTGGGAAGAAAAGAATGAATGTTATTGATAGTATTTCTGGGTGCATAAATGGATGAATGTTATTGATAGCATTACGGGTTTATAGATGTTATTCCTAGTATGTATAGATGTGTATGTATAATCTAGATTTTTAACGTAGCTTTAGCAGTTTTTCAGTCATATCGCTACGATGTCTGCAGTGTGACAGTTTATAGTGATGGCTAACACTGGGGCATTATGCCGCAGACATGTGGAATGATGTCCCACCCAAACACATTATCCTGACACCAGGCCAACCAGTCCTAACTCTAACCTCTTAATGCTTAGCGCCAAGCGAGGCAGCTGTGCCAAGCGATGCAGCTGTTAGTGCCATTTTTTAAAGTCTTTGGTATGACTCTGCCGAGTTTTGAATCCACGACCTTCCGCATCCGAGACGGACGCTCTAACCATTAGGCCACCGGAGCGGTTTGGGTGTACAGATGAGCGAATGTTAGAGAGTAACTTGGTGTATAGATGAGTGAATGTTATTGACAGTATTACGGGTGTATAGAAGAGAGAATGTTGGAGAGTTATTTGGCTATTGGATGAATTGAGCGAGGGTTACATAGATGATTATGTGGGTATTGCTTGTAGCGTTTATCAAGTTTTGATAGCTATTGTGAAAATTGATTTATTTAGTTTTGGGTCGTTAGCATTTTTACATTAATTGTCTTTAAAGTCTGTTGAGACATGCCATTGTAAGTCAGTTTAGTGAAAGCTGGATTAGTGATCCTTTACTCTAACCCAAATCATTTGTGGGAATGATATTGCCGACTCCACCCCCGAGGAGAAGATCTCTAGAATATACACTTGTGATGGGCCAATGTTAATTATTTTATTATTTATTCTATATCATGTTGCAGTTTAAGTGTTTTATTGTTGTTCTTAGTATTGTGCTCTAGCAGACTGTTATACATTTGCTCTTTCCCAATGCTAGAATTGTATCCAATGATATTGCTTTAAATCTAATCGATATGTTTTCCTCCTGATTGAGGCATTCATTATATGTAAGTGGGGCTCTTAGGGTTTTCTGTGCTCCCCCGACCATACACTATTTTTCGGACAGTCACTGATACCATGTTGTGTTTGACTGATTCTGGGGCGAGACAATGTAAGCAGTTGATGCCCGCTGCTCTGTTACTCGTTAAGAACCAAGGGAAACCGCATGCTAATTAAGCTTTTCCAGTTTTAATAATGTAAAGACTCTAGTGTCATGGGGTTTCACGACGTTTAAGAGCTGACATTTCTGCGTACTTTTATTTGCATTTTGTATAGGCTGCGTCCTTTTTGATTGACGTCTAATCCCACTTGCCATTTGTTGACAATTTGTATAAACTGGGTCCTTTTCGACTGACGTCTAATCCCACTTGCCATTTGTTGTCAATTTGTATAGACTGGGTCCTTTTTCTTTATGACTGACGTCCAATCCCACTTGCCATTTGTTGTCAATTTGTATAAAGTGGGTCCTTTTAGACTGACGTCCAATCCCACTTGCCATTTGTTGTCAATTTGTATAAAGTGGGTCCTTTTCGACTGACGTCTAATCCCACTTGCCATTTGTTGTCAATTTGTTACCTGAATATACCGTAGATTTCATGGACACTGTACTGTATTTTAGTTGATGGATACTATACCGCCTCAGTTTATGTTGATTTTTTTTATATCGGCCCTGTATATTCCATGCATGTCTATGTGGCAGGACAGCCACGTATATTCCACAGTATAAGTATTCTCATTAAGTTTACTCTAGTAAGAGAATCTTTCTACATGAAGAGTAGCTTTGAGGGAGTCCCGTATGTTTTATTTAAAAGAGTTGTATGATTCATTTATTCAATCATTAATTAATGTCTTATATGGCCATTTGGCATTGTACGACTAGTTAATGTAATCACCGCAGACGTTTTATTTAATCTTCGATAAGAAAACAGGAGTCACCCCATGACGAATGTATACTCCTATTATGTGCATATCACAATTTAGGGGTTAAGGGTTGATTTACGATGAATGGAACATGCTCATTCATCGAATTACTACATACACCGCATGCTTCTGAATTGGCATGTCTGAATTAGGAAAAGAAGTCCACCTGAAGTCCACGAACGTCAGTGGAACCTCTCTGAAACACTATAGATGTGATAACGATCAAATTCAGCCCAGTTATCTAATTTCGGGTAGTTCCCTGCAACCAATTGCATTAAGCCACATATTGAATTAGGATCACTCTAATCAGCTACAAATTGTCCTACTATATTATTTTAGAATTTTGTGTATACTGAGTACACACAATTTCCGAACAATGAATAAAACCAGGTCTGAGTTACACTTTCGATTTGTGTATTCTTAATTAGGCAATATTTGAGTACACTCTTCTACCTGAGCCACGACTTGACTTGATTTTAACTAATAGCTCTTTCCCACATTCGTGCGATGACTTTATTCCCACAGTGATGGATACTTAATTGATCTTGCGGGAGAGTTCGATCCACGCTTATGCATACACGGTATGCTTCTTAATTAAGCCAATGAAGCCCAAACGACTGTGGGACATTACGAGCAGGAATTTAACCAGCACACAATCGTTACAACTCTTTATCTTGCATACCAGTCGTGGTGGCACGACTGATTGACAGAATTGACTAGATTTGTGTTAGGGTCGTATTCGCCAACTATGACATGCACGACTAGTAATGTTTATTCGGTGGACTACATAATTTATCATGTTTGTGAATCAGAGTCACACGCTTGTAATGCACAAATAGTATGCTACTTAATTTGCTAGTCGAATGACAATAAAACCCTATTCGACTTGTTACTGGCTTAATGAACAGGAATCGTACCAACACACGCTCAATCTAACCTAATGTCTGCAATGGCAGTAGGAGACATGGGCTGTGAGTGGACACGCTATATGATGTCATTCCGGTTCCGTGCTTACACACTTACAAATGGACCTGATTACTAGACGAGTGGGAATCGATCCACATAGAAGTCGTTGCATGTCCGTGAGTGGAAAGCTGGAAATGTGCTCAGATGCGGGTTCCAACGCCGACTGGAACATTCCTGAAACCCCATGATTGTACATTGGTCAAATTTTTCCTCGTCGTAATAAAGGGCGTTCCCTATCACCAATTCTTTGTAAGCCATTATTGTAATTAGATTCATGCTAGATACAAGTAAAATGTTCCTACATAATAATGAGTAAGAATTGCGGGACAAATGTACATAGTAATTGGATTTGTGTTCCATCTTATCAAGTCTTAACGGAAAAAGTTGAAGGTAGGTATCTGGCATTATCAAAAAAGAGGTTTCCATGCGAAATAGAAAATCTTAGGTAATTTGGTAATAACCCTGAGAAAGATTGTTTTATAGTCACTTCGACAATGCAAAGTGCCCACAGATCACATCATTCATCACATCCTCGTACAGTGTATTTCAGATGATCAGAGACAGCTATCAAAACTAATGGACCCCCATGCTACATCTTTAATGGCACTGATGAAGTAGGTAGCTTTTTCTGGTCCGAATATGCCGTTTTCAAAGCCTTGAAAAGCCGTTTTGTTTGATGAGCGGTAATGGGTTTAACGTCTCACAAGACGCCCATGTCTCACCACTGATCTCACCACAGGAGATGTAAGGTTATCCGTTTCCATTCTACATTCTACTGTTTTTTTTTTCCTTGCTGTTGTTGCTGTCTATGCTGCTGTCATCATCTTTCCTAACAAACATTTTTTCACTTACCGATTCTTCGCGTGGGACATCTCTTAACTAGATCATGCGCCATTTTTACAAAGACGGTGTTTTTTTCTGTCGGGACTGCTATTTGATTTGGTGTATGGGCATCATGACGTTCAGCAATCTGGTAATCTCTGAAGTCATTTTCTTATTGGTTGATTAATCAATGATGGGTAGCCAGACTGGTGAACAAATCTCTGTGTATGGAAGAAAGCGCTTTGTAGTGGTGACTTTTTTCTTTTCCACATACGTCTGTCTTCCTTTCTATAATTTCTTTCATTTTGCTAAAGAAGATCTCGACATCATCGTTTTGTCCCAATGTTTCCTTTCTTCTCGTTTTATCTTTAACTTTCTGGAGAAAGAGTTGAAGACGTTGATGTTTTCTATTTCCTCTAAGTCGGATTTATGAATCCTCATAAAAATGATCAATCAGCATCCTAAATAAGGCGCAGCAACTTTTGACAAGTGTTATCAGCATGGATAGAACTCTTCCACGTTGAACCAGCATTTTTATTTTATTTTCACTTTTCACCATTTTCAAAGAATGTTCCGATGTTTTCCTATTCGTCGTTTCTGTATCTTGGTAAATGATACCGTTCATTTCAAAACATTCAAACTGCATTCACACACGGTATAGATGATTTATTTATTAGTGATTTGTTTGATTCGCTTGAGAGGATTACATTTCTTCTTAACCAGCAAAATATTCATATATTTGGCTCAACGAGGAGGAGTTTCTTAATTTTTCCTTTCTAGGAAATTGTATCTTGGGACGATAGTGTTAGTGCCGTGATTTTTTTCTTGCAGACATATATTGTTTGGAGAGCAAAATCAATGAAGTGAGTTATATCACATACTTTCTTTATTCATTCTGGGAGAGTTTCCATTGGTTGTCGGCATGTAGACTTTGTAAGAATACTCTTCTGTGTTGGACTTTTGTCTAAGGCGAGGGCACATTTGAGCTGCGACAACAGTTGCTAATGGTGAAGAAAATGCTGTAGAAAACGTTCTTTTAGAGATAGGTTTCCAGTTATAGATAGGTTTCCAATTGGTTAGATTGAGAAAAACGGGTGTTAAATCCTGTTTGTCAGTCGCCACCGTGAACGGCAAAGAAGTAGCGGGAGGAGAAGACAATCACCGAGTTGCGTTGTTTTCAGGCGTACGTATGCATCCTAGAACCAGTCCATCCTCTCTTGCTGGAAGATATTTCTAGAGTCTTTTGTAGTGTGAACTTATGGTATCACTACCACCTAGTTTATTATGTGTATACGTCTTTTAGGGAATCAGGCGTTTTCTTTTGTGTTAGCTTCCTTTTAAACAGATCGAATAATATATAATTGTGACTTTCAAAAGCTTTAAAAAATAATATGCATTTTACTTGATATTAATAATTGTGATGGCGTTACTTTTGCTTTTGGTTTGATGGTGAATGTAAATAATCCTTTCAAGTATCCGATGTGGTGTTGAAGTAAACCAACGTAATACTTCTTGGAGACTGGCTTCTAGCAAAATGTGTCAGAGGCCGCGATCCAACTAAAATATTATAAGTACTATCGCAGAAGATGTCCATTAGCAACTTTTCACGTTCTAGTCAGCAAGGCTGACACCTTAAAGACATATAACAATTCAAGATTCAATAGATCAAAATTTTATTTTAAAAATCCAATTTATAATATATTCAGCACAAGCACTT